CCCAAGTTCTGCCAGTTGGTAACTGAAACAAAAACAAAAACAGATACGTTTTTAACTTCTCTGGGTCTCTGTTTCATCTTCTGTAAGATGGGTTTAATGTCTTCCTTTCATGTCATAAGTATAAAGCAACATATGTAAAGTAGTGGCCAACAGTAGTTACTCATTAATGATGTAGCTAAATCATCTAAAAAACTGTTAGCAAATGTTTTCTATTTGAATGAACCACATTAGTTATGGGTTCCATGACTGATATGAGTGTAAAGAGATCTAGGAACTTCAGGTGTGTTCCTACATCTCTCAAATCACCTATTTTTAATTTAGAGGAAAAATGATCTCCCTGACCATTTGGTATCATTTTATGCTATTTGGAACTGCTAAATTGTCTTCCTGATAATAATATAAAAATCAAAGTTATATTTTCAAGCATCACAGACTGAGGTTTTTCTACTGGGAAGGACTGAAAACAAATCTTAGAATAGTTCCTTAGGAAAAAAAAATCTAACGTTTAAAATAAGCTGCACAAATGGCTGAGAAAAAAAAACAACAACAACAAACCAGGGCTTTTCTCCCATCCTGAGCATTCTCTTGCCCTTGTTAGTATCAGACCCGAGGCAGCCTGGCTACACTCAGGAAAAGTTCAGCTAATTAACCAACCCAGCCCCATTTGCTTCTTCCGCTTGGGAATTCACCAGGGTTGGCTCACTTAGAAGATATTCTCATTAGTTATTCCTTAAATCCCCGAACAGAAAGTTCGGAAGCTGGGAGATAAGGTGCTGCCAAGCAGGAAGCAAAGTCACGGCAAGCTAGGAACAAAGCCATGCCAAGCAGGAAGCAAAACCATGTTAAGTTTCTCATCATCTTGGAAGGTCCAGAAGTGGGGTTAGAGAGTACAGAGTCCCCCTGACCCCAAGGGGAATATAAACAAAGCAAGTGAATGCGCACACACACCACACACACACACACACACACACACACACACACACACACACACACACCTTTCTTCCTTGGTAATAAATAAGCCATCTACTCCCCACGTGTAAGAATTCAAAATGGCAGCTCATCCTAAACACCCTTTCTATTTGCTCAGCACCATCCCAGAGCTAATCATCTCTGTGCCTCAGTTTTCCAGTTTGGCCAGAATTTTGATACCTAAGGATGTGTTTTCTTTTGTTTGATTTTGGTGAACATTTTGTTTGTTCAGTTTTGTTTTTGCTTTGTTTTAAGGCAAGCTCCTGTGCAACCCAAGCTGTCCTCAAACTCACTATGTAGCTATCTCCATCCCCCTGATCCTTCTTGCCTGCCTCCATCTTCCAAGTTCTACAGCCTTTTGCCACACATTACAGTTGTGTGTGTGTGGGGGGGGGGGATCCTCATGTTCTTTCTCTTACAGTCCTTGAACTTACTATGTAGCCCAAACAGACTTTGAGTTGACAGTCCCCCTGCCTCAGCACAATGAACTCTGGGATTTCAAGCTTGTGACACCACACCAGCTAAGGTCCATTTTACTGAGATGTTCAGGGGACATCTCCATGTCTTCCCAGGGGTGTGAGAAGCAGAGTGGGCAGCACTGCTCCTACCTCAGCTGCTTGTCTGAAGGTGTTGACAAATCCCAAGGGAATTATTGGGAAATGAATTGAGGGGTAGCCAGACCAATTTGACATCAAATAAACTTACATTTCAATCAAACAAGGAACGCCCCTCTGTGATGTTGTGGCACAATGCTATTATATTAGCCTTTTTTTGTATCATTTGGCTGTGGAAAAGAAGTGTTTGCATGCTATAAATAAGATTGGCTCTTCACTAGGATTTTCTTCCACTACCCATGTCTATCACGATAATTTAGATGTATGTTCTCAAAGTAGGAATTTGGAGGTACTGAGGCTTTTTAAAATCCCAAAATAAGAGGTAAAACAAGCCTTTTCCAGAGGTAGGAGAAGGCGGAGCTGCACTCCAGAAGGCAGGAGGGGAAGCTTCCCAGTTACACTCAGCAGTGACGGTTGCAACATGAATTGACATATCTAACGAGGGTTGTTAGTTTGTTTGTTTGGTCATACATGCTTATGGCCGGGGTTACATTCCACCTTACCCCTACAATCTGCCTTCTTTACGGGATGGTCTTGATTAGACCTCTAACACCTGTCTCCGTGACCCCACATCCCTTGGTGGACCCTCATTGTCTCAGGAGTACTGAAGTGGTTAAAATCCTCCGTGTGAAGGGTGTGGAAGGAAAGTGCTAAAGAAGCAGGGATATGTGGTACCCGGAGGAGAAGCCTAAGGTGTGCTGTGTGTGCATCCTCTTCTTTCCTTCAGTGGATCACCTCCATGTCAGGCATTCCTTCTTCCAAGGTTGAGATTCTCAAGCGTCTATACCAGCCTAGGTTGAGAACTGAGCAGCTCAGAACTAACTGGCTACAACTTCAGAGCTTGGGAAACTTAGCGCAGACTGAGGAACCACTAAGCAGCTTGTTCCTCCCGAAATTTGTATTGCTTGAAGGGAATTAATAGTCAAACCCCCAACCATTTATGTCTCACCCAGTGTCCCTTTCCACAACCCAGCAAAAGTGATTGCCTCTCAGCAGTACTAGACGGGATGAACCAGATGATGTTACTACAGAAGGCTGGCTAGCCCCTCACCCCCACACCCAGGGCTTCCTCAGGACATCTGTTTATGGCTTCTCTAGCAACCCAAGCAAGAAGAGCAGCTCCAGCAGCTCCCAGTGCCCACCTGCAGGATTTTCGGCTCAGTCTCAGGGGCAAGACACAGAAAACGTCCTGGGACAATGCAGGATGGCAGGGTGAATGGGTTTGGACTAATACACCTCTCATTATATTTGTGTGTATCTTTAGACATAATGTATACAAAACCTCCTTTATATGAATCCCCCTTTATTGACAAATCTCTTCTACCACTGCTCTTATCTTTCTTTCTTATACTGAGTTCTTTACCTAAAGAATATAATATTCTTTAGTATAAGGATATAATTTATAAATATAAATTTAGAATACACATTTTGCCGTTTGGCCTCAGAGAAAGCTTGCCTCTGATCAGGATCTTTTGGCAAATGTGACTTAGAATCCACTCCTTCCAGGCAAGGCACAGTTGCCTTGTCTGTTATTTTCCCTTTTGGACTTATTTTCTATTTGCTGAGGAATCAGGGCCTGTTCTCAGGCATCCTTTCCTTGTTATTTACTGTTCTGGGCCTTTTGGCTGTCTCCACACCTCACATTCCTTGGCAGAAAGCTTCAGTGATTGAGGGACTTCAGGAAGAAGAAGGCAAAGCCTGGGAAGTGAGGAAGAGCAGAGACCTCAGCATGGGCAAACAACAGCAGGCACCACCACCACAGCCTGGGCAATCAAGGGATGGGGCCCTGGTGATTGGTTGCCTGGGTTTCAACAGCATATCTTTGTGCAGTTAGATGAGATGAAAACTAGTTAGGTAGGTAGGTAGATAGATAGATAGATAGATAGATAGATAGATAGATAGATAGATAGATAGATAGAAAGGAAGAAAGAAGAAACTGGTTCCTTAATTTCCTCAACTATAAAGTAGGGATGGGGTACATATATCACAATTGATAGACTTAAAAAACAATACAAACAGACATGGCAACATTCTCAGAATAAAGCCTGCCACAGAAGAAGCACAGAAGAGATTATAGTCAGAGATCTACATCATTAAGTAAGTATTGTATCCCTACAGATACTGTACCACGAATGTTGAAACTGGAAAATTAGTTATAAAAAATCCATAGATGCAAATGTATGATTGAGGACTGTTTATGACTAATTTTCAGGGTAAAATTTATCTTAAGATTTAAGTCAATGAACATGAATTTTTTTTTTTCTATTTTGAGGTGGTGTCTCACACTTGTAATCACAGTTGAAACATAGGGTGGCCTCCAACCCTCATGTCAGCCTCCCAAATGCTAGGCTGGTAGGCAGATGTCACACTTGCTTGACTACACTTTTTAAAAATATTAGACACATATTTGTCGTTCATATGTAGGTAGACAAACATATTATGTATGAGCAGAACTTTTAAAAAATTTTTTATACTTTATTGTTTTTAACTGAACTATACATTTTCCTCACTCCTCTTCTTTGCTCCCCTCTCTCCTTCTGCCTTCACCCCTGTCCCCCATGCTCCCAATTTACTCAGGAGATCTTGATTTTTTTCTCCTTCCTAGGCATATCTATGTATTTCTCTCTTAGGGTCTTTATTCTTTAGGTTTTAGATTTAATCTTACCAAAGATCTAAGTAAGCAGTATGTGGGGTTACATGTCTACAACTGGTGAACAATAACCACCATATTTAGCTACATAAAATGAAACGAAGGACTGAGATAGTGACAGTATCTAGAAAATGTAAGATGACAGGAAGGTCGCAGGGGTAAATTTTTATCTCCCACTTAACCCTATTTTGTAGAAACAAGGCATTATTTGGAATAGATGAGTGAAGCTTTTTTTTGTAACTTCATCATAACTGTAAGGATATGTGTGAGAATAACTATGTGAGAATACGCATCTACTTCACAAATCTCTCCACTGTGCATGGTGCCCGCTGGAACGGGCTAAGGCAGCAGACGAATGAAGAGAAAGTGGCTACTGATGTATTAATGACGCTAAGCATGAGAAAATGAGAGTGGCAGACCACGAGTGATATTTATAGCTTATGTTTATGAAACTAATTTCTACACACGAGTGAAAACAGTAACTAGGCTTTATGGCACAGGAATTAAAATCACACATTTGCATCATACTTAATAAACTTGCATACAAATTATGAAAGCCTAGAACAAGGATTAGCTTGGAGTTTCCAACAACACTATGAAAGTTTTTTTTTTTTTTAAAGTACGGTGCATATTTCCAGAAAGCTTTTTGGATGTGGTTGAGGATTTCCTCTTTAACAGATTTTGATAATTATGTCCTGTGACTCACAGGAAGCCAGATCTCCTATAAGAGGCTCCAGCAGAAGCAATACTCAGTGGTCCTTGGCTGACTACACATCAAAACTGCTAGAAGAACGGAGGGACGGAAGCAGCAGCAGTACACCTGAGAAATCCAACACCCCAGCGACCATTCCACAAAGCAGTAAGTGCAGCTTCCAAGCCAGAGCAGCCTCGGGCATAAAGCATAGATTTATATGTGTGTACACATATGCAAAAAACTCTGATAAAGAGATCTGTCTACGCTGTTAGAGCATTGTCATTAAAATCTGCCTTTTCTCTTTGCTTAAAATGATGAAAATCTTCAAATTTGTGTCTATCCACCACAGTAAATGTCTCTGCAATAAGTAATGATGTACAGGAATCCTTGCCTAAAACCTCATGGTGTCGCCTTAAATGCTGTGACAGAAGGGTGTGAGTAACCCAAACCTGGAATTTCCTTCTGTGGCTAATTCTGCACTTTCTCTCCTCAGAAGAGTATCTCCAGTCCTGTCTCTGGGTGAGAGGAATCACTGGAGCCATGAATGCCTCACGGTTTCTCTCCACTCTCACTGTTGGTAAGCTGGCGTCATCGGAGACCAGACTCTCTCATCTTCATTCTCCTGGGTCTTCAGAACAGGGTATCATGATGTGTGGGGCTGCTCTGTGCTTTGCAGTGGGGTTAGCAGGACTGCTGACTTCTCTGTAGGGCTCTGCCCTATGGTAGGAATAGTTTCCTTACATGGGAAGGATGGATCCTAGGTGACCTATTCAGGCATTGTGAAGATTCATCCATTTGCTTCCTAAAATGGGGCCTCAAATAGAGGTGTCATAGCAGCCAACAAGGCTTTGTTTTCTGGGACATGCAGTGGTCTGTGGAGTTGGAGTGTTACATTATCATAAAACATAATCAGGTGGCCAGGCACACAGTGATACACAGACATGCTACACCCCACAGATGGGCCTCTTTTTACTTTAAAAATCATAGTTTGGGCCATCAGAAGGATCTCTATAAGTCAAAAATAAGATAACATAAAGCAGGACTAAATTTTCTATTCCTTTCTTGACCCAACCCAGTGCTTCTCATTGGAGAGAGCCTAGCTTGGTATTACAACACCTCCATCGAACTCATGACATACGATGAAGCCAGTGCGTACTGTCGACAGAAGTACACACATCTGGTGGCAATTCAGAACAAAGAAGAGATCAATTACCTGAACTCCAACCTGAAATTTTCACCAAGTTATTACTGGATTGGAATCAGAAAAGTCAATAACGTATGGATCTGGGTGGGGACCCAAAAGCCTCTGACCGAGGAGGCTAAGAACTGGGCACCTGGTGAACCCAACAACAAGCAGAAGAATGAGGACTGTGTAGAGATCTACATTAAAAGACTCAATGACCCGGGCATGTGGAACGACGAGAGATGTGACAAAAAGAAACTGGCTCTGTGCTACACAGGTATGAAGCTTCTGAATGGTGGTGGGGTGTTTCTATGGGGAGGCAGCGTGGCATATTTAGAGGATGCAAACTAATCGGTCTCTGCTGTGTACATTTTCTGTTTTTAAAGACATGGCTGTGAAACATTCCAGCAATAATGATATCTATTTGTTTTTTACTGATTGGTGTGAGTAAAGGCAAGAATGTATGGTTGTATGTATACGAAGATACATGTATACATATATATGTATATATATATATATTTCTATCAATATACAGAGTATATATACTCAGATACAGTACATTTTTTTAGCATAAAACCATCTTCAGAGATGTTATGAATTATTTTTTCTTGCTTGGTGCCAAGCACAGCTATTCTGCTGATGTCCATTTATTATCACCAAGTTATACAATAGCCTGGAACTGGAATCAGATGTGTCAGTAAAAATTCTGACCATTAATGCCATTAGTGTTATCTGGATTGCACAGATTATAGGCTGAAACCAGACAAACTCAAATAAAAAATGCATGACAAGCACCATACGAATTGATCGTCCTCATCTGTTTTGTGCTTTCTGTAGCTTCCTGCACTCCTGCATCCTGCAGTGGCCACGGTGAATGTGTAGAGACCATCAACAATTACACTTGTCAGTGCCACCCTGGCTTCCTCGGACCCAACTGTGAGAAAAGTAAGTCTTGTCCTCACCCATCCCTTTTCCAAAGCTGGGAACTCCCTCCTGTGGTTCAGATGACTTGTCCGACGGGGCCATGTGTTTCCTCCACCTGAATACACAGAATAAGAGCACTTAGTAACTGAGACTATCAACTCAGACCCTCCTGGGTCAAACTCCAGACTTACTACTTATTACTTATGGCACCTTGACAAAGTAGTATTACAGAATGTCTGAATATTTCAGTCGTACTAAACAACTTCATATGACAACTATCTGTATGAAGACAATAATAGAACCAGCTTCATCGTCTAATGCTTCCATAGAGCCCAGACCACAGGAAATGCTCAATGGGCAATAATTATGGTGTCCAGTGTTCACACTCTCCTATGCAAGGTGGGAGAGGAGCCGAAGCGTGACTTCGTTCTCTTTCTCAGCTGTGACGTGCGAAGCGCAGAAGGAGCCTGCCCACGGAAGCCTGGACTGCACACATCCTCTTGGCCTCTTCCGCTATCATTCCACTTGCTCTCTCAGCTGTAACAGGGGCTACCTGCCAAGCAGCCCAGAGACCACCTTGCGGTGTATGTCCTCTGGAGAATGGAGTGCCGCTGCTCCGTCCTGCAAAGGTAACTTTAGATGTGCACTAAAGCTTCTCACTCCAAATTCCCTTAGTTCTTACCCAACTTACAACTTCTTTGTTGTTTCATTTAGTAAGATGTATTCTCTCTATGAGTTGTGTGGGCAATCTGGTGCCTGTTTGGTTTAACATGGCCTTTTTTCCAAATTTTTTTTTGAAATGGGTGTTCCCAGGCCCTGGTGACATGGAAAGGAAGGTGTAAGGAGACAAGAGAAACACATCTAGACAGCTGCATGGCTTTCTCGTGGACTTTCTTGTTCAACTCTTCCAATGCAATGGGACGAACTTTAGCACTGTGTTGGTCAGGGAGCTTCACTATCTCTTTGTGCAGTTCTCTGGTCCCATTACAAAGATTCATTGCTCAGGTCCTTCGAATGTTCATACTGCTTTTACACCAAGCCATGAATCTTGATCTAGAGGCTGTTATTTTTGTTGTTATTTATACATGTAGTAAAATAGATCAGAGATCGTCCAGCATAGTCAAAGCAAAATTTAATAAGAGAAGATGAAATCTGACTAAAGACTAAAACATTTGTTATGGGTTTATCTATATGTTATCAATAATTGTTATCAAGAATATATTATCAACAGTTTGGGTTTTGCTGGGCTGTGGGAATACACGCCTTTAATCCCAGCACTTGGGAGACAGAGACAGGCATATATCTGTGAGTTCGAGGCCAGCCTGGTCTACAAAGCTAATTCCAGGACAGGCTCCCAAGCTACAGAGAAACCCTGTCTTGAAAAACCAAAAACCAAAAAAAAAAAAAAAAAAAAAAAGTTTGGGTTTCACCCTTTGAAGATGGGTTTCACCTTCTTTTATAAACCCTACTTCCACGGAAGATGAAAACATGTATGGAATTTTCTTTGTGTAGAACTCTCTCTTCTCCTTCATCTCCTCAGTGGTTGAATGTGAAGCTTTGGAACACCCTACCAATGGAGTCAGGAAATGTTCCCCGAATCCTGGGAGCTTCCCATGGAACACGACCTGTACGTTTGCCTGTGATGAAGGGTACAGGCGAGTTGGAGTCCAGAGTCTGCAGTGTACCTCCTCTGGCATCTGGGACAATGAGAAGCCCTCGTGCAAAGGTAGAGTTCTTCCGTGTGGCGATGCATCACATTCTCTTCCTCAGCTAAGGCTTGAATCGGGCAAACCAGGTTTACTAATTTGAATGGGTGCTTGGGTTTCAGCTGTGACCTGTGATGCCATCCCTCAGCCCCAGCATGGCTTTGTGAGCTGCAGGAACTCAACAGCTGGAGAACTGGCCTTTAAGTCATCCTGTAACTTCACCTGTGACCAAAGTTACACGTTGGAGGGGCCGGCCCAGGTTGAATGCAGTATAGAAGGGCAGTGGACACCACAGATTCCAGTGTGCAAAGGTGAGCAGTAAACTGTATCTTCTAATACTTTCGTTTCTAAAACATCCATCATCTTCTGTCTTGAGCACTGACAACGACATCAGGCGTCCCTTGTAACTATAGATACCGATTATGAGGGCAACAGCAATACCTTTGAGATTGATTAAAAAAAATGAATGCTGGGCTGGAGAGATGGCTCAGTGGTTAAGAGCATTGCTTGCTCTTCCAAAGGTCCTGAGTTCAATTCCCAGCAACCACATGGTGGCTCACAACCATCTGTAATGGGGTCTGGTGCCCTCTTCGGGCCTGCAGGCATACATGTAGACAGAATATTGTATACATAATAAATAAATATTTTTAAAAAATGAATGCACAGCCAGGAAGCAGCACTGCAGGCAAATAACATATGGATTTTTGTTTGTTTCTAAACTAGGATATATTAATAATACTAATGTGTTAGCATTGGTATAATAGAGTAAGGAGAATTCATAATGTAAGTGAAATCTTATTTAAAATGTAAAGTGCAGAATAATGAAAGTACTGCTTGAACCTCTCACTTTCATCACAACACCTCTAAATTCACAGCTAACAGCAATAACAATGCCCCCCAGCTTGAGGTCTGTCACCAACAAGGATTGTTCTGATACAGACATAAAAGCAATAAAATTTAATTCACTTTTCAGCAAGGGCAAGAATGTTCAAAAGACACAGCTTTCTTTATACAGTGCAGGTATCCTCAGAGACAAATTTGTATTGAGTGAATTCCAGGAGCAAACACACACACACACACAAAACACCAAACTTAAGCTAAGAGCAGGCAAATTCTGCAGGGGTTCTTCCTTTCCTTTTTGACACCACACAGAAGTCTTCAGGACCCGTAGCTTGTTCTTCGGTGATGTAAAACTTTCCCCTTTACCCTCCCTCTACATATCAACCCAGTGTGGAGGCACCATATTCTTGCTAATGATCGCCTCGTATTAGATGTTATTATCATAGAGATATTGGGTAACGGTGAAAACACGTTCATCTTCCTAGGAATTTGTGATGAAGAATTGTCTTGAGTTCTCTGAGCAAAGCTTTGTGCCACTTGAACTTGGCCACCAAAAGACAAATGGTCTCCGGTATCACCATGGTATTTTCTCACCCTTTCTCTGATGTCTCAGCTTTCTAGTGTAAAGCCTTATCCAGGCCACCGCAGGGCTCCATGAAATGTCTTCCCAGTGCTTCTGGACCTTTCCACAGTGGATCCAGTTGTGACTTCTCCTGTGATCAAGGATTTGAACTGAAGGGATCAAAAAGGCTCCAGTGTGGCCCAAGAGGGGAGTGGGACAGCAAAAATCCCACATGTTCAGGCACATTCTCTTTAGAAATTCTCTTTCTCTGTCTCCCTCTTTCCCTCCCTCCCTCCCCTCTCTCTCTCTACCGCAAGTTCCATGTGTGGAGATCAGAGGCCAACTTGCAGAAGTCGATTTTCTCCTTATGTATGGGTCCCAGAAATGAAATTCAGGTTGTGGGGACTGGCGGCAAGTGCCTTCTTCTGTCGAGCCATCTTGCTGGCCCCCTGCGACATACTTTGAATTTTGCTGCAAGATAGACGCTACTAAACATCTTTGTGGCTTGGTTGCCCTAAGACGCCTACGATAGTCCAATGCTTACACCTGTGCATGGCTCCTCTCTTCCAGCTGTGCAATGTGATGCTCTCCCTCAGCCCCAGAATGGTGTAATGGAGTGTGCTCATGCTACGACCGGAAACTTTACCTACAAGTCCTTGTGCACCTTTCAGTGCAACAAAGGCTTCGAATTACATGGATCAGCTCAACTTGAGTGCACATCCCAGGGCCAGTGGACCCAGGAGGTGCCCTCCTGCCAAGGTACTATTGAGTTCAGACTCTCAGGACACACATCCGGTTAGCCGTTCTGTGGTGAGGTTTTTCTGATTTCTACCATGGATGTGTCATTTGCAGTGGCACAGTGCCCAAGCCTTGAAGTGCCAGGAAAGGTGAACATGAGCTGCAGTGGGGCGACCGTTTTTGGCACTGTATGTGAATTTACATGTCCTGATGGATGGACACTCAATGGATCTGCAGTTCTGACATGTGGTGACACAGGACACTGGTCTGGGATGCTGCCTACCTGTGAAGGTGATGCATTGCTTGGTGGTAGTTGCCTGGGGAAGAAGGTTGCAGAAGGGGTGTTATATTGCTAAGGAAGCTAACTGTTTTTTATGTCAAAACCAGAATGGTAGGTTATAGGGATGGATAGAAAGAAAACAGAAAATGATGCATGTCACGGGAACAGGTAGAATGTTTTGCTCTCATCTGCGACCCCAGTTCCCTCTCGAATACTTTCCACTGGCCCTCTCCGCTATCACGATTTATTTCCATTGTCCTCCCTTTGGCTCCCTTTAGACCTCTTTCTGCTCCCCCATAGTGGGATTCTGATCTTTGGAAGGGGGAGATCTAGAGACTGAAGGAGGAAATAAGAAGCACACACAGAAGGCGAGGATAGCAGTTTAGTGTTAACTGAGGTGTTTTGTTCTAATGTCAAAGAGCTTGACGAGGCTGTGTGCTGCCTGGAAACACCGGGACCAGCTTCAGTGGTAGTTTGGGAGGAATTGTTTAAATCTTCAATCTACATGGTTCTGCTGGTAGTCATGAATATACATAGGAAAGGCCAAATGGACAGGCCAGAAAGACTCTAAAGCCAATTGTGGCTTACGCTGTTCCCTGTGACTTGTTTCCTCAGCCCCCACAGACGACACCCATCCCTTGGTACTTGCACTTTCTACAGCAGGAACCTTGCTCCTGGCATCATCTTCACTTCTCTACTTGTTGCTGAGATACTTTCGAAAGAAAGGTAAATTCAAAAAGTCGAAGTGTGTGTGTGTGTGTGTGTATCACTTATGAGCTATGGTCTCTTGAAACTTTTCACTAGAATCTAGAAAGTAGAACCCACTTGTGAAATAGCCCCCACAAATGCCAATATAATCAAGGTTTCATGATAAGATTTCTTCTTACTCAACTCAGTGTTGAAAGTTTGAGGAAACCGATGCTGGCTGCACTAATACTGATTAACTCCAGGGGGCACTACTCACTTCCAGTTCCACAGTGTCTGCACAGTTGCTCAATGAGAATTATGGAGATACACTATGATTCTCTTGGGAGAATACGTGAAATGATTTCAAGTAACAGAGAAAATTGCTTGGAATAGCCTAAATTTTTGAATATATATATCACCAGGTATAGGAAATACAATATCCATGGTCACTTTGGTCCACAGACTATTTAAATGTTTCTAATTAAAACCTGAAATTTAGACATTAGGGAATTTCATGTAAAAGTATGGATTTTGTACTCCTCATGAGAGTTTGAAAGAAGAATCAGACAAGCTGAGCATCAGTTTCCTGGTGTCAGGAAGCTGCTCTGTTCTTCGGGTGTTTATCCTCTGTATTTTACCTTAATCGCCACCAAATGTCTGTCACAGAGCGCATGGTACTGAGAGTATAAACCCAGATGAGAGAAGTAAATGAGTCTAATTTGCTTAAATGTCATCGGTCCAAATTAATACTTTCCTCTCTCTTGCAGCGAAGAAATTTGTTCCTGCGAGGTAAGGTGAATTCTTGTGCAAAGCACGCCATTTAATACCCCATCTTTAATTTTTCTCTTCATGTGGGAAGGCAGTGCTTGATGTATTTTTCCTTGCTTCCACAGCAGCTGCCAAAGCCTTCAATCGTTTGGCAATTATCAAGTACCTTCTCACATCATCTAAGTTCACAACCATCAGGTATGACTTGGGCAGGTCGTGTGAAGGAGAGAAAGATCCCCTTTCCAAATGGTGTCCCTCGCTGGCACCCTCAAGCCTGCCATTGGCTAGAGGAAATCCCCATCTTCGTGAAAGTTCATAGAAAGTTGTTTGGTTTCTTTGTGGAAGGAGGGGGAGGCCCAGAGTTCTGTCTTTCTTGGATCATTTTACTTGTAGATGATAACGGTGGTGGTAGCGGTGAATGCTAGCCCCGTTCAGCAATCAGGTGCTTAAGCATGGATCTAAGCTGGGGACGCTGAGAATGTGGGACTGTCCCCTTGTTCCTCTGAGATGAAGAAAAAGAGGCACAACATTTATGGGAACTTCTCTGAGTTTCCAAAGCTACCGTGCAGTGTGGCTAGGATTCAAACCCCAGCGCTTGTGTGCTGAGTCTGGACATCTGTGATCCTCAATAGCTGCATTGCTCCTGGGAGTATAGCAGCAAGGTCAAGACTTTCTAAATAAACTTTTCTTAGTGAGCAGAATTTGTGGTGTAGTTTGGAGCTTAGAGAAAAAATGGACAGAAAATAGATGTTTCAATTTGCTTCTTCAGCCCCCTTATTTTCCTTATTATTGGCATCTTTCCTCATAGTTCTTAATGGTGACCAATATAGTGAATTACTATTAGTTAAAGCCCAAGGTGCACCATTCAGGATTCATTCTCTAGGTTGTACACTCCATAGATTTAACAGTTATAAATGACTGATAGCTACCATTATAGTATGATAGACTAGTTTCATTATTGTAACTCAGTGACATTGGGAGTTCATATCTGAACCATTCCCAAGAGCCTGTTTAAGAGATGTATTTTGCTGTTGCTTCCAGCATGCAGGATATATGTAAGGTTTTCACTTATTTTTGCAGGAAAACATATGCATCCTGGGAAATAGAATGATATGCCGAAGACAGCAGAAAATGAGCTGCCCATGGGACCCTGGTCTCTCATGTCTGCTTAATAACCAGGATCCTGACTGTGGCTCAAAGTTCAGTGACAAGGCCAGCCCTCCACCGTTTCCTCTTTCCTAGCCACAGAACCAAGGACATGCTGGCCACAGAAGGTTTCGGGTACGCTCTTCAAAAGAGAGTGAAGGCACCAAGGTCCCGGAACAGCAGAATTCTATCTTAGTCACTCCAGAATCTGGGAAGAGAAACAGCATTTTGTGGCTTTGCTTCTTTCTCTTGTTCCCCATACAGTGTCTAGACTGTTAATGCCGTTCTTGTTGTTACAGGGATAAATAGTATTTGTCAGCAGTTGTGAGCAAACAGTTTTCTATTTCTATTGTGAAAAAAAGGCAAAAGTGCCATAGCTTCAGGCTGTGGCATGGGAGTGCTGTCAGAGGTGCCAGGTACAGATCCTGCTGAGTGCTGTTAGCACTGCTAGGCAGGCTTACCGGATTTATCCCCATGGGATGCAGTGGGCTCTGAAATAGTCTCAGACATTGTGTTCTGTGTCCTTGCGTTGAATTTACCATGTTGTCCACCATTCTTATTTCAGTGCAAGGGTCAAAAGGACTTTTAAAAAATCAGAAATTCTGTGACCTTTGACAAGGCAAAAGTTATCTGAATTCATTTTTATTGGCAAACTCTAATGTTTTGTCTGTAGTAAACTTATCTTCAGGATGAGGAATTACTGATGAGTTTAATTCCCGAGAATTAAACTGTAGCTGTTTTAAGACATGGTACTACCAGAATAATAGAATTTGAAGAGAGAGTTTGCATGCTTGGGGGACTTTTTTTCACTCCTAAAATGTGTTTTTTCTTTAGAAAAGAAAGAACTTCCTTGAGGCCAAATGTTCTGATTTAGTAGAAGTGTAAATACTAAAAAGTGGAGGTGCATTTGGAAGTGTTTGTTTGAAAGCTCATCTAAGCATAAATACGCTTTGCATTCCTATAAAGGAGGTTCTTAAGTTGACAAGTAGATACCTGATTCTTGTATATTGTATACAATTCTAAATCCATGATGAGGGTTCACCACATAATAGATCCAGGCAGTAGATTTTCAAAAAGTGAAAGTGTCTAACAGTTATTCTGTAGTTGTTTCATTCTCTGTGCTCATATGTTCTAGAAGAGGGGAAGCTTGTCTACACAATGATTATGTTGTCTTACAGAGATTAAAACTCCTAAGGAGTTTCACCTCTAGTTGGCAATGACAAATCCTTGATCAGTAAGAACCCAAATTGTTCCCATCAAAAGCACCCCAGCTTCTGAATTAACATATTAGAAAAAGAAAGGTTTTGAAAAGTGCTTATAGAGTAGTGGCAATGGAGAAACCAATGGTGAGCAAGGAGTGTGACAAGCACTAGGACCAAAGGGGTAGAAGAGAGAAAGAGAGACCACAAGAGCTAGAGAGTAGCCATTGTGAAACTACACACTGTAAATGCTTATCTATTTTGTATCAGAAATAACTGTGTGAAATATGAATGTGGTCTGTATTTGAATTTTATAGAGTATTTTAAATTATGATTTAAAATATTTTATGGTTTAAAGTATGTATTTATTTAAATATGTCGAACTTGTATTCACATGTCAGTATAATTTTTGAAAATAAATAAGTTTCTACTTATCTTTGTGTATATAAGTGTAGTGGCATTTCAATTGTATTTTAATAACTAATACTTGTCTGAGGATCAGAAAAGTAAAACAGCCACACTGGCCAGCCTTATAGATGAAGCAATAATAACACACACCTTTAATGCCAGTAGCCACACTAGTTGCCATAGAAACCTTTAATCCTAGTGGTGCACTCCTTTAATCCTAGCCCTAGAGAGAATTATAAAATGGGAGGAAACAGCGATCAGACACACAATCTCATTCTGAGATCCCTGGAGGCAGGATTGCCATTTTTGGTCTTAGGTTGAGGTAAGAACCAGTGGCTGGCTATTTTGCTTTTCTGACCTTCAGGTCAATCCCCAATTCCTCTCCCTGAGATTTTATTAATTGTACATCATATAAGCCTTCTTTTTAAAGATCTATTTATTTATTATATATAGAATATTCTCGGTATTCTATCTGCATGTATGCCTGCAGGCCAGAAGAAGGCACCAGATCTCATTACAGATGGTTGTGAGCCATCATGTGGTTGCTGGGAACTGAACTCAGGACATTTGGAAGAGCAGGCAGTGCTCTTCACCACTGGGCCATCTCTCCAGCCTTCCGTATAAGCCTTCTTAACATTTTTAAATTCATCTAGATAAAAATCAGTATGGCATAAAATTTACATGTTCATTTATTTTATTGATTGATTATGCATAGTTCTGCATTGCCATTGTGAATGTCTGGAGATCAGAGGACATCTTTGAGGACTTAGCTTTTTCTTTCCACCGTGGGCTGGCCAGGCAAGTGCTTTTACTCACTGAGCCATCTTGTTGACACAGAATTCACTCTATTAAAATGGAATATCAGTCAATCATGTACCTACCTCTGCAGCGTTTCTATTGCTGTAGAATGAAACCAAATAATTAGCAGTTGGTTCACAATTTTTTCTCTCCTTCTCATGGCAATATTAATCTATATTCTACCTAGGGATTTGTCTATGCATCACATTTTATACCCATGGAGTACCTTCTGTCATCTGTCTAGCTATTTTTTTACTTAGCATACTGTTTTTTATGGTCCTCCATGGGTGTAGCTTGCATCAACACTTTGTTCCATTTACAGAGAAATTACATCCTTTGTATGGCTTGACTACTGTCTCTGAGTTTTTTTTCTCCCACATTTGAACTACTGTGAACAATGCTATTTTGAATGCCTGAGTGCCACAGTTTGTTGTAGGAGGCCGCTAGTTAGTTCCTGGCTGCTCAGCCCCGGGAACCACATAGAAATTATATTATTTGTAATACTGTTTGGCCAATAAGTGTATTTCTAACTAACTGTTTGGCCAATAAGTGTATTTCTAACTAACTCATATCTTAAGTTAGCCCATCTCCATTAATCTGTGTATTGCCATGAGGCTATGGCTTACCAGGTAAAGTTCTGGCGTCTGTCTCTGACAGGGCTACATGGCTTCTCTCTGACATCACCTTCCTTCTCCCAGCATTCAGTTTAGTTTTCCCTGCCTATCTCTGCTCTACCCTATCACAGGCCCAAAATAGCTTCTTTATTAACCAACAGTATTCACAGCATTCAGGGGGGAATCTCACATCACCTCCCCTTTTCTATTTAAATAAAAAGGAAGGTTTTAACTTTAACATAGTAAAATTATGCATAACAAAACAGTTATCAAGCAAGAATTACAGTTACAATATTTGTATCTACTTTATCTTTTATCATAACCAAGGAAAACTATAACTATACCTATATATTCTTCAACTCCATCAAAGACTCCAGAAAGATATAATATTACCTAAGTTAACAGGAAGTGCATTGCAAACATCTTCCAAAACTCTAGAATTGACAGAGACATCTCGCTGACTGGACAGTCATCACCAAAAGATTTTCTGTATCATTGGGGTATCCAATCTTCAGCCCACAGGCCCATAGTATCCAGCAGACTTTTCAATGAAGCAGAAAATTTCAAAGACAGTTTTGCCTATATTGGCAGTTTATTAGTTACTTTCTTCTGTATCCTGCAGAATGTCTGGCAGATTCTTTGATGAAGCAGGAACCCTGAAGATCATCTCATCTTTAGTAAAGTCATTTCTTCAGCAGTCATTTCTCTGTGGGTCCTGTGTGTCCAGTTCATACAGCATAGCATCATGCAGTCCAGGCAAGAACAGTTTCTTACCCAAATGACTAACCACTCCATAAGGAACCTCTTCAGTGCCCAACTTCCTCTTGAAGTAGCATAGTGCTGCCAGGAGCAGATGTGTCTCACTGTCATGAAAAGTCCTAAGTTCTTAAACATTTTAAATGGCATGTTCTGTAGTCTTTGAAAGATTTGAAGAATGCCTATCCAACTGAAATATATCTATGGACATCTAGAAAATCTAACTAACATGACTACAAGCTTGACTATCTATTATCTATTAACCTGTATTTCTTAATTATACATTACATTTTTAAATGAGCTTCACAAACACAATACCTTAATCAAAAGCAGAAATACACATATAACAAAATTGACCTTAAATTTATATGAATAGACCAAGAGCCATACCAATGTAAATCTCCATAGCATATCCCTTAAATGTAAACAAACATTTATAAACAATAATTCAGGAAATGTGGGCATAATTCTTTCCAAACTGCTTTTTGCTGTTTATTGGACAAAGTAATTTTTTGAGAGGTGTTCAAGGTGACCTTTCAGGGGATCTTGGTCCATCAAACTACATTATTCTGGAAGGATTCCATAGGTTCTCATCTTCTGTGGAAACAAAAGCACAACCTCTTTTTCAAAGCAACATATCCTTAGACCCAAATTTTGTAGACAAGATACCTTTAAAGTATATATGTTTGTTACTTAGCTCCTTCACAGTTAAAAATTTCAAAGAAAACATAATAATATACACAATCTAAGCTCCCTGTATTTTCCATCTTTACCTGGCTTATTTGCTTTTACTTTATTACTTTTTTAATATTTATTTTATTATCTTTACTCCTTTAATCTATGACTATATGTACTGTCTCTTTAAAGACTTTGTTTTTTTTAAAAAAACCATTAATTTCTTTTATAACTCTCTATGCTCTTTTTATTCTCTCTCCCAAGCCTACATACATTTACTCAACATTGTGACTCATTTAGAGTTCTTTTATGTCTGAATCTGTCTTATTGCATGTCTGTAATGCTTTTCTGTCCAGGAGAGTTTCTTAAAATGCTAAGTGCATTTAAGGCTGCTTTGACTTTTGGCTCTGCCTAGTCCAACATGGCAGGGCAGAGGTCTGTTTAACGTGAGCTATGGTTACATGTGTCCTATTTTTAGGCACTTGGCGGGTATATGTTGTTATTAAGCAAGTTGTAGCACACTGCTCATAAACCACATTTAAATGCTTGGCCTCCTGAAAGAGCCAGAGTTCTCACTGGCAGCATGGTCCAGAAATCTGCCATTTTAACACCATGCAGCTTTTTTCTGTTACCGCTGAATCAGGAAAAGCTCTCTTAAGGGAGCTACAGCATGCTGCCAGCTGAAAAGATGCAGCTAAATTTTCTTTTTCTGTGTCTAGAGTTCCTTTATAAGCTTTCTCAGGTTTTACGTGGATGTAGTCAGCCCCATGTTGGGCACCAATTCGTTGTAGGAGGCCACTAACTAGTTCCCGGCTGCTCAGCCTGAAATAACCACACTATACCATTTGCAATACTGTTTGGCCAATAGCTTAAGCATATCTCTAGCTAACTCAAAACCTAAATTAATCCATCTCCATTAATCTGTGTGTTGCCATGAGACTGTGGCTTACTGGGTAAAGTTCTGGCATCTGTCTCTGGCAGTGCTACATAGCTTCTCCCCGACTCCACCTTTCTTCGCTTAGCATTCAGTTTAGTTTTCCCTGCCTATCTCTGCTCTACCCTATCACCAGCTCAAAACAGCTTCTTCATTAACCAATGGTATTCACAGCATACAGAGAGGAATCCCACATCAACGGTTGAGGCACAACCTTTTCTCCATCCCCTTTAGCATTTTTCTGGAGGACATAGGAACTCTTCTATTTTTAAAGGAACCATCCTGCTTTCTCCCGAAGAGACTGTTTTACAGTTGCAATGCAATGAGAAGGACTCCAGCTTCTCTGTGTTCTAATTAATACTTCCTCTTGTCTCTCTTTGGTCATCACTATTATAGTGTGCATATAGTCTCTTCTGCCAATACCAAAAGATATCCAAACATGTTTATAGTCTGAAAGAATTACCAATACCAAGGAAACAAAGCCTTTGCTGCCTACCAGTCTTGGTTGCTGTTATTCAAGAAAGTTTACATCAATTTACACTGAAGATTTAATTTTCCCCCAGGACTAGATTCACAGTGAGGTTCCCCCCTATTAATGCATGCATTCTTCCTATTACTGTAAGATTAGTGCACAGTCCTGATAAGGGCAGACCTTATCCAACTCATTACGTATCCAAATTGAATCAGAACAAAATCACCCTGAATTATGACATTCATTTTACCCTGGTCTAGAATGATGGTAATCTTGATTTTCAAGCTTTGGGCCCTGAGCTGAATTATATCACTGGCTCTCCTGGTCCTTCTCTTGCATATATGCTTGTAACTGGAGGTTTTTTTCCCCACCCACCAGTTCCCGAATAACCACTCTGAGGCTAATATTAATTATAAATGCTTGGCTGATGGTTCAGGCGTATTACTAGCTAGTTCTTACAACCTAAGTTAGCCTATTTCTATTAATCTATGTATTGCCACATGGCCATGGCATTTCTTCATTTTCTACATGTCTTGCTTCCTCAGCGGCTGGCTGGCATCTCCCTGACTACATCCTTCTTCACCTCTATCTCTGCTTAGATTTTTCTTCCTGGCTCTATCCTGCCTTTCCAAATGTTAAAGTTTTTTTTATTTATCAACCAATGAGAACAACATATATTCACAGCATACGGGATCCCACAACATATGCTCTCCTGTTTCTCAGTCATTGTTTCAACCTCCTAATCTATTGATGGAGCTGTTAACCTCATGAATCACTGTAGGCATGGTTATCTGCACATGTTTAAGCCAGGAAGATCAGCTAACATTCTTACATTGCAGTACTACTTAGACTTAGTAGGTTATAAAAAGCAAGAAAGCACATAAAGGTGAGAAATGAGTTGGCGAGTTTCCAAGAGATGATAGCCAGTCAGATTGGAGGTGGATTAAGTACCAAGGAGCTATGAAATTACCTAAGAACAAATAAATTTAAAACAATCAGACTAGTGCTGTTCCTCCCCCATAGTGTTTTAGATGTTAAAAGCCAATTAAATGATAATTTAATTTAAACCTGTTAAATGATACTGTTGTTATTGCTATTACTATTTTATTTGTGTGTGTGTTTGTGTGTGTGTGTGTGTTGGCACAGTGTATGCATTGATCTTTGTCACTATTACTAACTTTTTTACAATGCAAGCACTATGTCAGTCACTGGTTTCAGAATGCCTTTATTGGCTGAATTCAAATTTCATATATGGTTTCATTTCTTTCACATTTTATACTCAGGGTATTTCTAGGTCTCCAAACCTTCCTAAGGCAAAAGGATAGAGTTTGGGGAGTGTGTTTAGGATTTAACTTTCCTAAGAGCCATTATCAAGTACTTCCACTAGGGGGTGAGCAAGGAAAGAGGGAGGGAAGGAACAGAGTTGGGCCAAGTCTTCTAGAAAGAGCTAACGAAGTTCAACAGAATCATAACTGGATCTGAAGTAAGTTTTTATCTGTGGCACTATCAGGGCTTCCTATTTCACAGTCAGGTGTTTCTGCTAAACAAACCAAACAACAAGAAACACGAAGGGAAGCAAGAGGAGAAGGAAAGAAAGAATGCACAGGTGAACAGAAAAGACTGGGAGGATGTGCAGAAGAACCCAGTGGTCACAGCTCCAAGTCAGCTATTGTGTTCTCAGGGCAGATAACTGAGATCAGTTTAGGAAAGGGGCGGGGAGAAAGAAAGAGAGATGAGAAAGGGGAAGAAAAGGGGGAGGAGGATGTGAGACTAGGTTAGAGAAATGAAAGAGAGCAAGCCCTGTTGGTGATACTTAGCACATTCTTCCTGAGCACAGCACACCCTCCTTGTGCAAGAACCCAGAGCTGCTGAAGGCTGGGGGCTGCAGAGGAACTGCAGAGAGACCAGCAAGCCATGGTGAGCCTTCCAGCCTATATGATCTTAGATATTCAAATGTTTCCTGGGGCTTGAAGAGGCAGGTGGCAAGGGGTTTTAAAAAAGAGAGAAACAAACAATCAAGCAAACAAAAAAGCTTGTTTTCTCAAAGAAGTGATTGTAGACTGTTTCTTGTTGATTCCTTCCCTTGGCGTTTGCGCTGAGGAGATGCTGGAAGAGGTACTATTGAGATTATGACTTTGCAGTGACACAGAGTGGCTACCTGAGAAGTGATACAAGCAAAGAAGCTACAGCCTTGAGATGTGCAGAAAATTTTATGGATTCATTGTTTGGGCTATTCCGAATGTATTGCATCTTTCTTGGAGAAAAGAATTGCCTTCCTTTTCTGGTGTCTAACTTTATCACTCATTTATGAATACATCATGACCTAGTGTGCTAAGACAGCAAATTTGAACATCACTTGTCCATTAAACACCAACTAACATTTAAAAATATGCATTCAAAATAGTGTTTAGTTTAATTTAAAGCACAGCCCAAAGGCACATAGAAAGGTTACTAAAATACAGAAAAACATCCCATCAATATGGTCAACAGCTTGGGACTGGAACATGGAGACGAAATGAGATAAAGCAGCGCAGCATTTGGGAGTGAACTTGTTGCCATTGTCTTCAGCTACGTTCCCCCAATATTTTACCTTGGATAATGCACTAGGTTGCTGAGCTTTGTTTTATTTTAAGAAAATTGTGGGGCACTGCCTTAACGGAATCTAAGTTTGTAGTTCAGAGTTTAAATAACATGTTCCCTTTCATTTACAGGTGTTTCCATGGAGATGCCAGAGTACTCGGTGGGGCTCATGGAGCATCCTCAAGCTGTGTGTCTGGACAGTGCTCTGTTGTGGTATGTCATTCGTACTCTGCTAAGCTTTTATACCTTGTGATTATTCTTTGCTTCATATTCATCGACAGTATATAGTCCAGTGGGAATAATCAGATAGATGGCTATTGATTCTTTTAAGGACTCTGTTCTTCCTCTGACCTTCAATAGTTCTCTGATCCCCCGAACACTAGCCTTACATGCTGCAATCTCTAGTGAAGGACACAAATCTTGAGAACCGCACAATGGCCTTCCACTATGAAGGAATGCAGCTAACTGAGAAACCTCAAATAATACACTTACTGCTGGAACACTAACTTTACATTCCATTTTCTATTAGTAGCTTGCTGTGCACCAAATGAGCTTCTATGGTCATAGCATGGGTTGCTTGGGGGCTTGGTTTTAGTTTCTGTTTGGGGCTTTTTGTCTTTCTACTGATGTTGCATGTTTTATGTTTAAGCCTTAGAGACTCTTCATCGACGAGTTTGAACTTTTTAAACCATGGCCTAAGAAACTCATGCCTCTGTCTTCCCTAACTTGGATTTCCAGCTCAGAACAAGTGAACACATACTGTCTTTGTTTTGTTAATTTTTCTTTACTTTTGAGAGTTTTGTGCATGTACAATAAAATATGATCATATCTATATGCCCTTTCCCCTTCAACTCTCCTCTGTGTCCCTCCCAAGATGCCCCTCCCAACTTCCTGTCTTTATTTTTTTCTTTTCTTTCTTTCTTTTTTTTTTTTTTTTGATAACCTGTTAAGTCCAATTAGTGCTACCCATATATTCATGGATGTGATCCATCCACCACTGGAGCATGGGAAACAGAGTCAACTTCCTCAGCAAGAATGATGTTCCCTCCCCACAGCAACTATGAATTATCAATGGCTCCTCAGTAAGGGTGGGACCTGGAGATCCTCTATCCCATCTATGCTGACCTCGTACAAACAAACAATCACAGCTGCCATGAGTTCAAGGGTGCATTAACCACATCATGTCCAGGAGACAGCATTTCACAGTATCCATGCCCATTCTCTGGCTCTTACATTCTTGTGTCTCTTCTGCAATGAGCCTTGATGGTTGTGGGGTTAATATAGATGTCCCATTTAGGGCTGAGCACTGAGTTTCTTATCTCCATAACTTAATAGTTATGCATCCCTCTATTGACTGCTATCTACTTCAAAAAGAAATTTCTCTGACCCAGCTTGAGAGCAGCTCAGGACTAAGGGTATAAACATGAGCATAAACATTTAGAAGGCAGTTTTGGTATTTCCCTGTAGTACTCGCCTTATGGAAAAATATCAATGAGCTGATGGCTGTGAAATCTTTGATCTTACTGTAAAATATTATTTCACAGAGATCAGACCATACTTAGAAGGTCAATATTCTCATGATCATTGTGTACAATGATGTTTTGTATTTGATTTCTTTAAAGCCTTCATGTTTGAAACCCCCCATGTTTATTGAACACCATCCTTTGAGTATATTTGAATGTAGAACACAATGTAATCAACTTTGTGTCCTTGCATTATTTTTATGTATATTGTTCTTTCTTTACAACGAGTTTAGATGCACAACAATTTGACAGTGTACTTCCCAATAGCAGCCTATTCTACAATAAAGCACTACCTTTTAATGTGACAAGAAAGTATTTAAAATTATGTCATTGTTCTTCCTGATCCTATTTTACTTTACCTAACAGAGAAATTTCATATGTGTACTGTGTTAACACTAATAAAATTGGCCTTTAGGAGGTTATCCAAGGATTTAGAAAGTATAGCGTAAATTTTAAAGCTGTTAGTGACATCATTTCTAAGGTCTGCTGGATAAATAACACTTGAAAGAATTTTGAGAAAGAACTTTCATTAAAGTAAAACTCCAAAGATATATTTATGTATAGTAGTCCTTGAGTATGCTCCAAGTCTGCCAGTGGCTAATATTGTGACCCTGAAATGTGCACCTGCTCTTTTAAAGTCTTGTTTCTGCATCTCTGAGTGATGGGCAGCCTGCATCTGTGTCTGGTCCTAGAACACCCTATGAGTCATCACATTGTCTGGTGTTTTTCAGACTTCCTGGCGCACCATGGAACTCACTGTTGGACATACCACTATTCTGAAAAATCCATGAACTGGGAAAATGCTAGAAAGTTCTGCAAGGAAAACTACACAGATTTAGTGGCCATACAAAATAAGAGAGAAATTGAGTATTTGGAGAAGACATTGCCCAAAAACCCTACTTACTACTGGATAGGAATCCGGAAAATTGGAAGCACATGGACATGGGTGGGAACCAACAAGCCTCTCACTAAAGAAGCAGAGAACTGGGGAGCTGGAGAGCCCAACAATAAGAAGTCCAAGGAGGATTGTGTAGAGATCTATATCAAGAGGGAAAAAGACTCCGGGAAATGGAATGACGATGCCTGCCACAAGCGAAAGGCAGCTCTTTGCTACACAGGTGAGCAGTGACCAGACTCCTCTCCATCTCTGATTCGGGGGGATCAAAGTTAGAATGGGCAGACTCATTACCCAGAAACTGCTAGTTCACCCTGAAAAAAAATCCCAAATAAATCTTAAGCATAGCACTTCTGGGCATTCTGTGTGTAAAGATGCTCCCTGTGCTCAACAACTAGGTCAAGTTCTATCCAGGTTGCCAGTAATGTTATGTGAGAAATAGGGTTAGACAGCCTGTGTCCTGGTGACAGGCAGGAAGACGGTGCTAAGAGCTGAGTGGTTTTTCAAGGTCTTCCGCTAACACCTCCATAACCGTATAAAGCGTTACTATGAGTTAATTCATTCTAAAACCAAATAAATATCTATGCCAAGTGGCTAGACTAGCCCATAAATAAAAATTTTAGCATGCACTATTATGCAGCAAACATTGTTGAAAACTTAAGCAAATCTTTCCTGTGTGAAGAAGGGACTATGTATGCAATCCCACTAAAATGTCTTTGGCTAATCTGTTTATAGCCTCTTGCCAGTCTGGGTCTTGCAGTGGCCATGGAGAATGCGTGGAAACCATCAACAATCACACCTGCAACTGTGACGAGGGGTTTTACGGGCCCCAGTGTCAGTATGGTAAGCCTCCTCCTTTCCGTTTGTCTGTTTTTTTCCTGTCAAAAGTCACCAGAACCATAGTAGCCTAGGATGGCAACTGAATGGGACAAAACGACACTGCGGGAACAAAACAATATTGGCCATTCTAAGAAATGGGAAGTTCCAAACAGAAAGTTGGGTTTTCACAATGTTATCTTCCTGTAAAGATTTCATAAGTCAACATGCAGTTTCAATTTACTTCACACATGTTTTTGAAGTACCACAAGGGACAGGGTGTTAAGATTTGCCAAAGCTGAGCAGATTGCAGTAAGAAACCAGGTGTTGTAGATCTTGCCTGTCAAGGATGTAGTAATCTAACGAGCTTGCTGGATTAAGTAGAACTCTGAAGTCTGACAGAAACAATTATATTTGTCATTAGGAGAATGAGGGATCTGGAAGGCCCTCCTGCTCTTCTATAGACAGACATGGTGAAGCACAGTAAAGGAAGAACTCATCACATATGATACATAGATGATGTCATGGCTATCTAATAACAAATCCTATGCACTAAATTTGACTGCGTATTTCTGAATTGTTAAAGATTCGGTACTTATGGGCTTTACAGTTAATTAATAGAAATCATGTAAGTCCATTGATCAAGTTTGATGGAAGGTGATATGAACAGGAATAAGCTCATGGGGAGAGCTCCTAATAAAGTCGCTTGTTCTTTATTTGTAACGAGTGGCTACTCAGTGTCTCGCCACCAACACCGAAGACAATTATCCTAGAAACAACACAGCTCTGCAAGGATCGCCAAGAAAGAGGGGATGGGAAGAGTCACTGGGAGCCTTACAGCGTCTCTCAGAGAAGTGGTAGTAGATTGGAAAGGAGAGCGTGTGCATGTGCAAAGTCAGAGGCTTGGACTCAGCCAACTATGCCTGAAAGGAGTATTGGATCTTTTAATTGAGGCTGGCTGAGTTTCAAGATGTGTTTGATGTGTCTAACACATACAATAGAAACTTGTAAGAAGAAAATTAAAGTTTTTGAGGAATAAAGGACTGAAACTAAAATTAATTTCGGTATTAACCACATGGATTAGATCTGACTAATTCACTCATCCCCAAAGCTGTGACTCTTCCCATACAGTGCACCTCCACAGTATTATTGGTCCACCCATCTATTTCACTCCTTTTTAAACCTCATCTTTTCTCTCTTGCTTCCAATCATATCCTTTTCTGATGTTTTTTAAGTATAACAATTTCTCCTGGGTTCTTCCATCGGTACTTATCCAAGGCCATGAACCCTTAGTCTCAGTATCTATCGTTTCTGTTGTTATTCTGACTTGTTTCTTTCATTAAATTTCCTAAATTTTGCGGATTTATTCTATCTATATGATCTTTGGAATGACAACTCCGTGTTCAGCTATGGCCTCCACCTACCCTAAGATCCTAAGGATGTTGTCTTGGATGTGTTGTACAAGTTAAGTGCCCCCAGCCACTTTTCTTTTTTGCGGTTTTAACCACATTACATGGAAATGGCAGATGAAATGACACTAGTGTGAAACTTTCACCTCCTCCAACACTTGGGTATGATAACCTAATGCTAATCCAATTTTCAGAAAGGTCATTGATTTTATAGGGCTGAGAAATGGTTTAGCTGAAGAACACTAGCTGCTCTTGTAGCAGCCCTGAGTTCCATTCCCAGCATCCACATGGTGGCCCACAAACCTCTATAGCTCCATTCCAGGGGAGACAATACCCTCTTCCAGCCTCCTTTGGCTCCAGGCACACAAATAGTGCACAGATACACGTGCTGGCAAAAGACCCATATACATACAATTCAATAAGATCATTTTTAATTGTTTTAGTTTCCTGGCACCATCACACTGGCATATAATGCACAGTGGCCACATCCACCTCCTTTCCCCATCCCACTTCTGCCAATCTCCACTCTTCTTCCCAACCAGTGCCCTTGTTAATTATGTAGTACAACTTGGGACGTCTCCAGTTTCTCTCCTACTTGTCTGTCGTTTCTCTCCTGTTACTGCTGTAGTCCCCAGATGAGCTCCAGAATTTTAAATGAGCTCCCTTCAAGTAAGTCACTCATAGTGCAGGCAGGCTGACCAATGAAAAAGAATCAGACATACCAAACACGTAAGACCATTCACTAATTTATCCCTATTATTTGTCTTGGTAAAGTCTGAGCTCTTTAAGTTGAGGAATGATGCTTGATACGTAACAAGTGCTCACCGAGGGGTGAAGAGGATGAGCACCTTGTCTCTGTTCCTCTCCTTATGTCAGTCTCAACGTTTGGCAGTGTTCTACTTTCCACATACTTCGCGTTCTGTTGACACTGTATAAGATCTTCTTTCTGATTCTGCATGTGGATAGCGCAGCTGATCATCTTTAAAACATAGTTCAGAGACCATTTCTTCCTAGAATACTTCTTTAGATCCCAATACAGACCAGAGATTATCAAGCAGAGACAAGACTCAAATCCATCTGCATCTCATAGCTCTTTCCAACCCTGCTACCCTCTCTATTAAAGTGGTCCAGTGTGAGCCATTGGAGGCCCCAGAACTGGGTACCATGGACTGCACTCACTCCTGGGGACACTTCAGCTTCCAATCACAGTGTACTTTCAACTGTTCGGAGGGAACAGAGCTACTTGGGACTAGAGAAACCCACTGCGGATCATATGGAAACTGGACATCCCTAGAGCCTGTCTGTCAAGGTGAGTGACTTTAGGTTGGAGAGTTTGCTGTGGCGAGCTTGCACCTATAATCTGAGAAAACACAGGGGAGTCTTGCCTAGAAGTCTGTCTTCTGCTATAAAATCAACACAACTTCGATTGTAGTTTGATGCTTTTCAAGAGTTGTGTTTTTCCTTACTAAAATGAAAGGCAAAACTCCAAAACAAACAAACAAACAAGTAAAAAACAAACAAAAAAACCCAAAGTCTTTAAAGCCACCTGTCATTTTATAATGTGATTTATGGCAATCCATTGAAGTTATACTCTATATTTTACTTTTCTCACTGTCATCACATAAAGCCTTGATGAACCTCTGTTGAGTTTTGGTTTTCTCCTTCCAATAACACCCATTTTATGTGGTGCCTTACTTAGCACCAACCTGTTTCCTTCAGAGGTAGTAGAGGTCTTTCCTGGTTGTTTCATTTGGTATGTTTTAGAAGTCGTCATTTATTTGTCTTTCTCCTGTATGACTCTCAAGAGAATAACAACTGCTGTGAAAACAAAGGCCATGCTCTCTGTTTGCATTTGAAACTGAGTAGGTTTCATCCTTTTTGGCTGACAAGTTTTGCCACACATTGATGGAAAAACTGGTTGGGTTTGTACGTATGAAGTTCAGGTTGTGCTGTCTACATTTATATTTCTGGTTCCCTAGTTCAATTCTCTAATGAAAACCAAAATCCATCATTGAAATTATAGAACTAAATCAATGTAAGGGATGAATTCTATAAAGTTAAGCCGACTTAGGGGAATGGGGGTGTCTGTCAAAACTGCTTGAGTAGATGTCACGATCCATGAGAAGGTTGACATCTTTGCAATCACCGAGAATGTACCATGCAAGCTCTTACATTTGTCCAAGGCTGTATGGTTAGGGTTGGCACAATGCCTTGCTAAGGCAGCAGCCTGGAATGGCTACCTTGTACCACCATGGGCTATCAGTGTCTTGTTGGCTCCACCCCTGACAAATTGTTACTCAATGGCACATTAAGAAAACAATCCTGGAAGTACTGTCAAATGCAATTCCTACAAATTAGAAATTTCTAGGTTCATATGGATGGTTCCAGTGATAAAGTCTGGCTTCAGTCTAAAACTCTTGATTGGGGGCTGGAGAGAAGGCTCAATGTTTAAGAGAACTTGCTCCTCCAGCAGACGACCTGGATTGGGTCATACAAGGTGGTTCAGTATCACCTGTAATTCCAGTTGAAGATACTCCTATGCAGCATATGCATACATGCAGGTACTCATGTGCATAAAAGCTAAAAACCAAATGAAACAAAAAGCCTCAAGGCTAACAATGAGATCAAGAGTGGGATTAGAGAAGCTACAGCGGGTGGTTTGAATGTGGTCAAACTACAATCCATACATCGTCTATAGAAATGCCACAATGAAATCCATTACGATACAGAATTAGTTTAGGCTAATAAAAGCTTGGAAAATGCCTTTGGTCACAAACACTGTTTTGTTGTTGTGTTACCACTGAAGTGACTCAGTGCCAGCCTCTCACAGCACCTGACCTGGGAACAATGGAATGCAGTCACCCCCTGGCCAACTTCAGCTTCACTTCTGCCTGTACCTTCACCTGCTCAGCAGGAACCTACTTAATTGGAGAGAGAATAACTGTCTGCGGAACGGCTGGCACCTGGTCTAGTCCTCGTCCTCTATGTCAAAGTGAGTAGTTATGTTCGGAAATACTAAGACTTAAAGGTGGCGCTGATCAACTAGTAGGTGGGAAAAATATAATACACATTCAAATTCCATTTCCCTCAATACATGTGGCCTAAAAAAGAAATTTATATGCATTCATGTACTATAAAATCCTTGGCTATTCTCAGCCTCTGCTTTAATGATAATTATTTTCTTTTTTCAACCTTAACTGCCCTCTTACGTTTAAACCCTTTGTCTATTTATTTGTGGATTATCCATATCTTCAATTCCACCACAACCTGATTTCTCTGTTAGTCCTTTGAGATGCCTTTTCAAAGGTCACCAATGACTACCTAACTCCCAACACAATGGACAGTTCTCCATTATCCTAAGCTGATTCTTCTAAATCTATCTGTGCATGAGAAGAACCATGTCTTCCTCATCTTTGTGTAAATACTTCCTAGCAGAGTAGAAAAGGACAAGACCTCCTGAGTAAATTGGGAGCATGGGGACGCTGGGGGAGGGTTGAAGGGGAGGGGAGAGGCAGGGAGGGGAGCAGAGAAAAATGTAGAGCTCAATAAAATTTAAAAAAATGCTAAAATAATGGTGCATTAAATCAGCTTATAAAATGACAGTTATCAATTCTGCCCTCATTCCGTCTGCACAGAGTACAGAAATGATAGGCCCTGAAGAAGCTGTCAAGGAAGATCTCAGGGTGTTTAGAGTAGAGTGGGGTGGGGTGCGGGCAGGGAGGGGCAGAGCAGAGGTACAGTAAGGCTGTATGCCAGGCTCACTAAGTACATTTCCTTTTAAGTCTACTGAGTTTTCATTTCCTCAACTTTCGCAAGCCAACAGTTGCCAATATATAAAAGTAGATTCCTTCACCTAGAGGTATCAGAAGACAGACTTTTTTTTTTCAGATGAATATTCTTTTCAAAAAAGGCTGTAAACAAGACTAGTTTGCATTTGCACAGGGATATGTAGAGGTGTCCTCCTAATTTCTTTGGATGGGAATGAAGGGAAGTGGTACAAGTGTATCCCTTTAGATCACTGCAGATCCTGGACATGTAGACACTGTACCATTTTCGCACACCTCCTGTAAATTAAGGAGTTGGGATGGCTTCCTTTGATTGACAAGTTGCCCGGCTCAGATGGCTGACTTCCTTTTCCTTGCAGTTCTATGTTAAGCTTCCTAGCCCTTCTCTATGCTCAGAAGTCAACCTTTAAATGATACCAGGGACAGAACATCACGGTAATTACTTCTTGTCGGTTATTTTAGCCTCATCTCCAGGAATTCCATGAACTGCAGATCTGAGAAGTGTGCTCTTGTAAGCACTAGGCTAGAGGCGAGCCCTGCTGCATCCCCATCATGGTCCTTGCCACGCTACTTTCCTCATCTGTGGTAGATGTTATCACTGGGGGACTATCAGGAGAGCAAAATGACAGATATCATGAGCTGGACTACGGGAATAATGCCTTGGTCTCATAGCATGTGCTTTACTGACTCCTCTTTCAGAGACAGACAGAAGTTTCTCAAAGATCAAGGAAGGCGACTACAACCCCCTCTTCATTCCGGTGGCTGTCATAGTTACTGCATTCTCGGGGCTGGCATTTATCATTTGGCTGGCAAGGAGGTTAAAAAGAGGTAGGTGTGCTCAATCACATCAAAGTAAAACAATTTTAAAGTGGAAAGAGAAGAGAAAGAAACCCCACAGGAAATAAAGTGCAAGAGGTTTAGCTGAAGCAGGTGCCAAGCAACTTCTCTGCTCTGTAGGCAGAAGTCCCTGGAGACCCTGAACTTGACATACATATTTATTTAAAAGAACCAGCCAATGGTTCACCCTAGGTAGACCTTCTCATGAAGGCTTGCTATGAGGAGCTTGCCAGATGAGACATTGTAATGGTTCTTTGGTCCTATAGCTGTTTGAAGAGAGGATGCATTTACCACTGTCTTTCGGGACCCTAGATGACTTTGATTGTAGCACTACAGTATCATTGGGAAGTGAATCTATTATTATCTAAGGTTTTTAAACATCTGATCTCCTTGTGAGTCACATAACTGTCTGGGTATTGACACGTGGAAGTTGTATTGCCCTTGAAAGAAATTCTTGTGGATTCTTTCTAGAATCTCTCCACTGAGGCTGTAACATTATATGTGTGTGTGTGTGTGTGTGTGTGTGTGTGTAGTGGAAAGAAGACAGAAAGTTGGGGAAAGAAGAAAAGGGGAAAAGCTTCCTCAAAACTTTATTCTTTGTCACCCCACCAGGAAATAGATGGAACACTACACAAGAACACGACATTCTTCCTTTGGCCCCCTTTCTCTCTTCCGAATATTCTTTTGCCTTCAGGTGAGATCAGTATACCAGCCATAGGCCCACAGTCTGTAGCAGGCTTTGGGTGTTGACTGCCACCTTTGTCCAAGTTCATCCAACAGATCTATTCAAAACTGTAAAATGCAGAGACCCCTGCATCTTTAGAGATCCCCAGTATTAAGGTCAGGGGCTATGATGACCTTAAAGCAATTGCTGACTCCTATGCGCTTCTTCCTGTGATGTGAGCTGATGGCCACTTACGTTTCCCTTCCACTGGAGCCATTAGTGTGTATTTCACTAACTATAACGTGTCACACTGGACAGTTTAAACGTCTTTTCTGTTGATAGAAATTCCATGAGTTCGGATACTACCACCACACAAGACAATTCTAAGTACTGACTCCAGCACCAGCACAAAATAAAGAATGACATTTTTCTTTCACCACTGGTTAGTCTTTTCACCGAGGTGCCAAACCTCACTTTGACTGTCTGGCTGCCTTGAATGGAGAACAAGGAAGCCATTCATTACACATGCTCCCTGAATAAGGTGGCTATTAACTCAATAACTCCAAGGCTGTTACGTCCTATTAATAAGAAGGGTAATGACCCCCCCCCCAAGTTCCATTCCTTCCTAGGTGATTGTAGATACAAAGGAATGGAATCCAAGTCCCATTAGCTCGGTGCGTGCCAGCTAGCTACGGCGGCATCATGCATGCCTTGAGAAGAGCCGTGGGTTGTTTTCAAAGTTTCAACCTTGGAGTCAGTCATTTCTGTACAAGATCTCAAACTGATAACCTGAAAATGGCATGCCCCTGCTGTGGGAATCAGAGTGGGGCAAACAGGAAGCAGATAACGGGCTCTTGGGCTAGTGACAGTTATGCCACCAAAGAGAGTTGCCAGCTCCCAGAGATCACTGGCTCTGGAGGGAAATTCAGGGTAACTATGTTGTCTTCAATAGCCTTCAGCTGTCAAACATCTACTGATCTCTCCAGCTTGCAAGGGAACGACTTTGTCCTCCAAAAATTTTAGCCGTTAAGTTGGCTCTTTACAACATGAATAGTATCCCTTCCTTCCCCCTGGAGAGACACTGGTAGAATTGGTAGCTAGGCTACCAAGTAAAACCCACAGAGATCAAACAGACACATTTATAAGAATCATAGTGAAAATAATGATTCTGTAATTATGCATTATTACACACATGTTATAGGTTTATTTGGGTTAATCAAACAGGGAAGGGGGACAGGTGGCAATTCAGAGTGTGAGAGCCAATGAAAGGAGCAAACTCTGTTCTTTCAGAGGGATCCTATGAACCTGGTGCAAGGGCTGCCCGTGCCCTCATCATCTTGGGGTCTAGTTAGTCTTTAGCTCTCTTTTCCTGGGTCCATAAATAAGCACTCTGGCTGTGGGCTCAGCGGAAACACTCGGTACTCCTAGACTTTCTCGTTCTCCAAGGCGATGACATTTTTAGGTCAAACTCTAAAACTGTTCATTAGCAGCAGTTCGAGTCAGAGGCGCCCCTTCCACCCCAAACAGAACCCTCGAAAAGCGTTTGCCTTCGGGTTCATTAGGCTGTTTGTTACGCGGTTGGAAGAGTTTTCCACCTGACCCAACACACAGGGTTACTCCAGTACACGAAACTGAACACGGTCTCCCTCAGTTCTCTTTTCTTCGAAGACACTCCCTCAGTAGAACCAGACACTTCCTCAGCAGGACAAGACACCCTCAGTAGAATCAGATTTTGTTTATCTGTTGTCATTGTTTTCATTGCTGCTAAAAGAAAAGAAAATTCTGTGAAGATGAACAAACGGACTTAAACTTGATTATTCCCAATCAATGCATTTGGTCCATATCATCTGAAAGCTAAATTTTCAAAGAAAGGTTTTGCAATGCCATCTTCTAGAACTTTAAACATATTTTTAAAAGCAATTGGAGCGTTGTATAGTATATGCCAGGCCTTAGCCTAAACATTGTAAATACCTCTTCTTTAATGAACCCAATAAGAAAGCTAAAATCTGTGTGGGGCAGTTCTAGAATACTAGCTTACCGTCACAGAAATAGACAAAACCCCTCTCAAAGAGCCTTTTTCCTCAGAGAGCTTTGTTTCTAATTTTTTTCCTTGTCTTTCTGACAGACATCAGTTCATCAGACCATCAAGTAATCAATCTTTATTTCCTCTCCACTAAAAAGAATGTGATTCGGTTCACAAAACATTTGATACAGTCAACCAAAATTACCTAAACAGTAAGGAGAAGAAAAACCCAACTGAGTAAGCAAAACTAAGTTGGAACCGAGGCTTATGTTAGCACACAAACGTGTGTGTCATGGAGTCCTGTCCACTTGACAGAAGTGATTTTTCAGATCTAGCTCCCAGGCAGCCCGTCAAAAGAGAAAGCAGATGAATTGATGAGATATGAATTGTACATCTGATTGCATAAGTTGGTGAAAACACATTAGTTGCTCAAGTTAGGCTGCACGGTTCCCACTGATTTCTACTGACTAACCAGGCCAGAGTAAAATTCTCAGGATTCACTTAAGAGAAGCTGAGCGACCTCGACCCATTTGTTTACAGGGTTGGGACCTAAGTCCTTTAGGGAGGGGATGGAGGAAGAATGAAATGCAATAGAAACTTATGAATGGGACCCTGGGCCTGATCAGGAGGGAATTCAGCCCAGGCTCTGGCTTCATGAGCAGCACAGCAGGTGGAATGGAGTCCCAAGAAGCACCCGCATCATACTGCAGCACCAAATGCTCGCTGGTACCCAGAGCCACTTAGTCACACGTGGGTGCCCCCTTAGCAAATTCATAACGCACTTCAAAAGACAGTCATAGGGATGGGCACAGCCTTTACTTTCAAAACTGAAATGGTCTACTTTTTAATGATACAATTTTTCTATTCTCTCTTCTATTTTTAGGCAAGAAATCTCAGAAAAGGTAAGTATTTTGATGAAGAATGTCCACATATATTTGTCTCTGTTTTCCATAGGGTGCTTTCTGTTATAAACAAAATAAGCCCATGGTAGTTATTTACACAGGGGTCTCATACTAATGGCATTTCCAGGTAAGGTGGTCAAGCACTGGCTCCCATTAAAAACTTTGTCTTTGATGCTAGTGGAATTAAATAAATAGATGTACAAATATGCATATCAAGAAAGGAGATTTCATATGATGGGAATGTTTTCTGGTTGTCTCTGAATTTTCCATGAGGGTTAGAAGCATGCTGTTACGTTTCTTCTTGTCTTAGTATACAGGACCAACATCTAAATAAGTGAGAAACACCCAATTCAATGAGCATTTCCAATAACTAACATATCTGTAAAAAGGGACTGCCCAGCCACAGGCCCTTATACTTAACACAAAAGAGTGATTGGCTACTGTTCTGATAAGCACTGGCCTTCAGAAGCGAGGGAAAGCTGTGGAGTGTGAAATCTCCCCAACGCCCTAAAGAAGCATTTGCCCAGTTTGTTCTCAATGTTCTAGTTCTTTCATTAGACTAATAGCAACAGAGTGTAGATCGCTGAGGAAAAATACAGACACATGGAAGTGCCTGGTCTATCTGTTAGGAAGGAAGAAAAAGGAGATAAAAAGAGGTGGCCAGAGACACAGATGAGGGAAGATGAAGAATAGCTGGGGATCACAAATACTAAGAAAAGACAAAAGTGGAAAGTCTTAAATTCAGACAGAAGAACCATCCAATTTCCACTGGTTGCATTAAGGACATTGGTGGGAAGGCCATTTTCATTGCACAGAACAAGACAGAAGTCAGCGGTGGAAGGGATGGGGACAGTCAATCAGCTGGAGGCAGAACGTGTTCTGCTTTCTTTAGAATTTGTCACGAAGAAGGGGAGAGTGATAGCGGTGGGGACACGGGATCAGTGGAGTCTTCTTACTCTGTAATTATGTGGATGGAGTTCTAGTAAGAAAAGGGTCTCTGTGGGGACTGGCCTCCTATCTCTGTAGCAGGAAACCCACAGGATGTAAAGATTTCTTGTGTTCCCACCCACTGAGTGAAAGTCTGCTGGTACATTCCATCTACCCAGAGTGGTGTGCTGGCCACAGAAACACCTGCTTTGATAGCTACAGCACAAAAGTAGTGCAAAATTAGTTTCTGATTGTTTATTAACAGTTTATTAACTTTTTAAACAATTACTCAATTAATAGTTGCTTATGAACATTTTTTATTTTGGAACAAGGCTAAGTTTTACCGAGACACTCAGAGCAATAAATCATTGACTCCAACCTCGGGGGAATTATTATCTGACTGGGGAGTTCAGACAAAAACAAGACAAAAGACAAAGCAGAAGTGCAGAGCAATAAAAGCCAGGAACAGTGATGGTGATGAATTTTGTACTGAAGAAAAATCATTGGTCTAAGTGATCACAAAAAAGTCTGGGAGATTTGGCCGAATCTGGGAGAGAATCATCAAAAGTTTCGGGATAGGAAATAACTGAAACAATGGCAAAGTCAGGTGGATAAAAAGCAAATCGGGGGGCCAGAAGCGGAGTTTCCTAGGGCCCCTGGTTTACTGAGGATTTGTGCAACAGAAGCTGAAAGAAAGGCTGTCTCCCTCACACCCCCATGTGTCCAGGGCACTTCACCACCAAGTGGTCTGGCTGCCTCGTGACGTCTCTCATTGATTAGCTAAGGTGATCCTTCTTCATAAAATTTTAGGCTAGGAAGATGGAGAACATCATATTGAAACTATCTTGGTGATTAAGTAAATAACTTACCTGCAGGCCGTGAGCCAGTGACAGAGTTGCAACAATAAACACAGATAAAGATCAACTTTGATCAGATACACTTTCTTGTTGCCTACTCTTCTGAGTGTTTTAAGTCCCAAATGATTAAATATTGCCTACAAGTCAGTGTAGGTAGGGAGCACTGCTATCTGTAATTACAGTAAAGAGACGGAGAAGGGGATATGGAAGTAGCTTAAGGGAAATCATTGAATAAAGGGAGAAGCTGACATCTGTCACACCCGCATCCAGGGATAACACTCTGATAACTATTTTGCTTCTAGTGCTCAGGCTCCTTGACTTCCAGGTTAGAGTCGTTAGGACCAGAGGCCCTCCTCTTCCAGTAATGTGATTTATTTTCACACTAAATCATTGTGTGCTGGCACCGAGGAAGGGTGGGGTGGAAGAAATAGGGTGTGTCTCTAGAGCAAGCCAAGGGGAAGATGAATACTATCACACTAAACACCGAATGATTTTTTTTTCTCACTGTGGTTGATTCTCACCGTTCTTTGCACTCACTCCTATTAGTGTTTGGCTAATGAATGAATGACTCCTTGGGCATTTGTGGTTTTGACTCTTGCTGGTTATTTCGACTCTTCTGCAAACGGGTTCTGTTTGTCACCTCATCTGGTTTCTAGTTTCTAAATTCTACCTGGGTAAAAGCTACGCCCAAGATACACAGGAAGATATGATGCCAACCTCAGAGGAGGAGGGTGCGTGCGAGATTCTGCTTTCAGAGACATTTTTATTTCTACCCTGGCAAGCAAGTCTGCAGCTGCCCTGGTGGTTTACCCTGACAGTTCATCACGAGACCAGAGCCTCAGAATCTGGTTCTCCTTTTGCAAGGTGCAAAGACACAGAAATGTGGTTCTCCTCCACCCTTTCCAAGAATGGCACAGCTGAAACACAGAATACAGTGGCACCCATATTCATGAATCTAAATTTGCCATCAAGTCTCTAAGTCATGTTCCACCAGAATCTGGCATTTAGAACAAATACCACTGTTTCCATGGGTTTTCATTTTCTCTGATCTCATGTTCCATTTGAGCACATATCATCTTCCATGTCCCCTCCTCTCCACTGTGATTCAGCACACAGTGTCCTTCAAATATTAGATGTGGAAGTTAGCAGTGTTGCAGAAATACGACCAGATGTGATCTGTGGACCAGCAGATGTTCCAGTGTGAGCATCTGTGAGGAGCTTCTTAGAGAATTGGGACTTCCGGTGGAACCAGAGCTGACATTTAAAGTATTTACTTGGAGGAGGGATGGGGTTGGGGATGGTACAGAGAGCTGACTCAGCAGCCAGGAGTGTACTGCTCTTGTAGAGAATCCAAGTTCAGATCCTAGCATCTGCACTGGGTGGTTCACAATGGCCTGGATCTCCAACTCGAGGGACTCTGACACCCTCATCTCGCCTCCTCAGACAACTTCACTCATATGCGCATACACACACACACAACTAAAATAACTCTTTAAAACATTAATTTGGGGGTGGTAATACACGAGGGTGTAAAATGTTGCTCTAGTGTCTCTTCTCCAGTTGTTTGAAAATATTCCATAGCCTGTCCACAATTCCCAATGGGAAGCAGTTCCTCACTCGTCTTCATGTTAGTGGCCCCTTACCCCTTACTTCCGTGTATGCAGTTTCCTTGCCTCTCTCACCTAAATATGTTCATCTATATTAGTAACATTTTAATTTTTGCCATTTTTTAAAAATTTTCCTTAGTTTAATTTTTATAATCTTTTGTTTCTGTTTCAGGATGGATGATCCATACTAATTCATCCTCTATGAAAGGAAAAGTCACAAGGTGCCAAAAAATAAAGTTGGAAACAACTTCAAATCCTCCCTCAAAGATTTTGGACAAAGGCATCGCCCACAGTGAAGATGAAATGTTTGCTTCAGGGTATCTGGAAGGATTTCTACGTGACCGACAGCTCCTCTAGCCTCCTCGCTGCTCACTCAGCTCCTTGACCCTAGCCTGTAATTTTTGTTTATATAGCTCAGGATTTTATTATCTTTTCTGTGGAGAGAAAAAGGCTCTGGGGTATGAAGAAGTCTGACCTCGCTCTTTCCTAACTCCTGTTTCCTACTTTAGTCCAGTACTGGATCTGATATCAAACACAGTGAAACTTTGATGCACATGTAACTGAACCGGATTCCTTTCACACAGTCCATAAACTATGAAGAAGATGATAAAAACCGTTGCTTTCCACCTCCAAAGAAGGCTGTTTTGTTCAAGTTAGACAAGTCTCATTTGCACTGTAGCCCCACTTCCTGTGCGTGGAAGCCACCGTGACCGTTCACACTCACCTTCCCCGTGTCCTTTCCTTAGCTAGCTAACTTCCACACATAGCATCTAGTAGTCATGGAACAAATAAGAGAAAATCGCCTTTACTGACTGTTAGTTTGGAAGTTTCCCTTCTCTTTAGTACATCTCTCTAGGTTCTTTGAGGTCAGGGTTCTGACGACTACTTATTTTTTAATATTGACATGACCCACTATCTTGGAATGTAGATAATAAATATATTTCTGATATTATGAAGATGAGTTAAAACAGGTAGAAAGATTCCTGGGCTCATGCTGGAGTAACACCTTCCCCTTGCCCTAATATCTCCTACTCAGAAACATGACTTCTAATTTTAAGTTTCAGGACAGCTGTTCTTGTCCCTTGCTGCTTCTTTTATAGCTAGCTATTTAACTCACCCAAGCGTTTCTTGGCTTCACTCTGCACGATGCATTTAAATACAGCCCATTTTTAAAACTGTTCCGTAGTCTGTTGTTTGTATATGAGAATACATGTTGTTTTCCCCTAGATAACATTGTACATCTCTTGAGGGAAGAGATTTCACCAGATCGCTGGAGTTTCTAGTTCGTTACTTGAATGAATGAAATGAATGAAATTTATGCCTGGCAATGCTGAAGCATATGTGGGCAGCCCGTATATGACTGTTGAACTTGTCCATATTGGGTTTCGTGGTCTAAGTTGATGAGGATGACTGACCAGGCCTCTTCCTCAAGAGGGCACCAGATCTCACTAGAGATAGTTGTGAGTCACCATGTGATTCCTGGGAATTGAACTCAGGACCTTTGGAAGGGCAGGAAGTGCTCTTAACTGCTGGAGCACAGTCCATGGATAAAGTTGTGTGAGGCGATTCCTGAGAGCTTGTGGGAAAACTCCAAGTACACAAGAGACCCGTACCCTCCATCCCTGCATAACGTGCATTTGTTCTGAGAATGTGCTTTCATGCCTGTCCTGGTGTAAATAGGAGTGTGTTTTCTTCAAATTACCCATCATTTTACTCTTACTATTTAGATGATATTTCCAAGCACAGGTTGTCCCCGTGACTGTATATGGCTGGAACTAATGTAGCCTTGCCCTCGAGACTGTATAAGCCAAAAAAATGTGACCTTCCTAAACTCATGTGACCTCGCCCTCATGACTGCATACTGCCTGAACTCTCAAACTGCTCATATGACTTTGCCTAGCCCTCAGAAGAGAAATTTCTTGATGCCCTGAATAAAGATGACTATGGCCTGCGACTTTAGTCCACTTTACTTTTAGTCTCTACTCTCCAAGGTTCATGGCGCCCACTAGAGCTGTAGCAGTAAATGGGTAAAATGCATTCAAATAGATTAGAAAAAGTCTACAGGTGCTGTGATAAGTATTCAGCTAACTTCAGCACCGGAATCCCTACAGGAAGGCAGTACACTGTAAGAAACAGATTGGAATTGGATGTGGTTGTGCATGCCTTCAATCTCAGCACTTGGGAGGCAAAGGCTGAGGTAGGCGGAGGTCTATGAGCTCAAGGCCAACCTGGTCTACAAAGTGAATTTCAGGCCATCCAGGGCTACTTAGTAAGAGCAAAACAAACAACAAACAAATAAATAAATGGTGAGAACTAACTAACTAACTAAATAACTAACTAAATAAATAAATAAAAGAAGAAAGAAAAGAAGGAAGGGAGGGAGGGAGGAAAAGAAAGAGAAAAAGAAACTGGCTGGAAATATTTTTCCTGTTTCATGGCCAATGCTGCTTTTACGCACATTTTCACATCTTGTGAGACTATATTTTTAAACAAGGATTTTTTTCTTTCTTCAAGTCATTTCAGATTCTATCACCATTGCAAAAGACCTTTCATCTTGTGTGCTTACTAGCAGGTGTCAATCCCACTCATATGGCCTAGGGTGCACCCTTCAGAGAAGTGTGGTGTGCAGAGAGCAGACTCATGCTCACAGCCCTGCCTGAGATGCTTCGTCACTTCAAACATCAGGGGCAAGGGACCAAAAAGAAAGAGAAGTACGGTCTTCTATTCATGACATAAGGTTAATATGTGATTTTAAGAATTTTATTACAATGTTGAGATAAATCCCCTTCAAGACTGAGTTCCTTACCTTGAGATTTAGTTAATTTGCTTGTAAAATAAGGAAGTCTACCTGTTTACATCATAGTGTTATTGTGATGTTGTGTCAAGGGTTATTGTGAAACAGCTTTGTAAACTGAAACCTTGTTTTGTTTTTGAAAGAAAAGTTATAGTCAGCTGTATTTGGCTCTAACCTGGGTCTCTGGGCTGTCCTGCCTCTGGCTCCTGGTCATCCAGGCATTGTCAGCTGTGGGCTCCCTCTTGTGGTTTGGACCTCAAGTTGGAGTAGTCGTTGGCCACTCCCACAAGTTTTGTACCACCATTACCCAGCACAGCTTGCAGGCCGCACAGATTGTAGGATGAAGGTTGTGTGGCTGGGTTGGTGTCCTGGTCTCACTGCTAGGAGCTTTGCCTTGTTCTAGAAGATGGCCAGTCCAGGCTCTACATTCCCCTATTGCTAGAAGACTCGCTAGAGTCACTCTTGGAGATTCCAGGGAGTTTTCACTGCACTAGGTTTCTACATCCGCCTCCAAATAACCTGACTCGGGTCATCTTTTCCAGTACTCTCTCCTTTTTTCCCCTCAGCCCCACCTGATCCCTCCTGCTCCTATCCCCACTGGCACTGAGTCCACTCACAAATTCTATTTTATTTCCCCTTCCCTGGGAGAGTCATGTGTCCAAACATGACTGACAAGAAAAAAAAAATCAAAGAAATGATCCCTAATGATTTCCTGCTATATTCATAGATCTGTGCATGTTGTTATAAGAGGGGCAGAAACTGAAGGGAGCGGATGCAGAGACCCACAGGTAGAACGGGGGAATCCCACAGAAGATTGGAAGGAAGGATCAAAGGAGCCGGAGGACTCTAGGACATCACAAGAACATGGCCTATAGAATCAACTAAGCAGGGCTCATAGGGACTCACAGAGACTAAAGGAACAAACATGGACCTTTATGGGGGTGAGCAAGATCCTCTGCATATACCTTAGGGCTATGTAGTTTGATGTTCTTGTGGGACTCCCAATAATGGGAGTGGGAATGTCTCTGACTCTTTTGCCTGCACTTGGGGCCCTTATCTTCCTGCTGGGTTGGCTAGTCCAGCTTTGATATAAGGGTTTGTGCCCAGTCTTAAAATATCATCTTAGGATATCCCTGGGAGGCCTTGCTTTTTTTGTTTGTTTTGTTTGTTTCAAGACGGGGTTTCTCTGTAGCTTTGGAGCCTGTCCTGGAACTAGCTCTTGTAAACCAGGCTGGCCTCGAACTCACAGAGATCCTCCTGCCTCTGCCTCGGGAGTGCTGGAATTAAAGGCATGCACCACCGCCTGGCTTGTTTTGTTTTTTAAAGGGAAAAGGAGAAGTGAAAAGAAATGTTCCTGGGGCCTGTTGCTATGCAGACAAATATCACTATCTTAAAGTAAAGCAGAGAGAGAAATGTCATCCCAGGGCTTTAAATTTCAAGCTAAAGCTCACGAAGCTTGTACCGCAGTCTTTGGAAAACGAGAGCAAGAGAGGGACAGAATCACAGCTGCATCTGGTAGACAAGTGTATCTGATGATTTAAGAGGGGGAAATGGAAGCAGGAGATGCAAGTCATTAGATGTAATTATCCAGGCACGAAGATGATGAGCCAGGAAGGTCCCTAGGAGGCATCCTGAAGCCTTTGTTCTCTGATGAGTGGGAGGGTGGAGAATAGGAGGGAGTCTAGAAAGGAAAAACATAAAACAAAGATTCTGGTTAAATATGGCTTATGCAAATGTCCGCCTTTTCAAAGATCTTGTAGGAAAGTCCCTCCTTTGTTATTTTTCCCCTGCATGAACTTATCTTCTTTATTCTTAATACAGGAGCTAAGTCAAGGATGTAGCCCAAATGCCTGTAAACTCACAAAGGCAAGTGGAGAAGACTGGGAACGGGAAAAGGCCCTGGATCTAAAATGCTCTTCACTATTCGGTTGGCAATCAATTCTTCCCACTCCAAAGAAAATGAGTTTTTGCAGTTTCACGAACACAGTTTAGGTAGAGACACTGATACAGACTGGTCAGCCTCGGTCAGGGTGCTGGGGAGCCATCAGCAGTTTCTGCTTGTGAGGCCCACATTTGCCTGTGAGATTGGTTTCATGTGGATTTAGGGCACGAGGATAGCAAGCATGTTGAACAAAGGACCGACTTACACAACTGTACTCTTTGCTCTGGGGTATTTCATAATCTTCTAGATAAATTAGATCTCCTTAGAAAGCATGTGTCTGCATCAGTAACTGCCGGAGTTTTCTCTCATTGATGTGTTTATTAAACCACAAGGGGGTACTGACATTTTGATATTTAGAAGTAATTAGGAGAGCTATAGGAACTCGCACATGGTCAAGCTGTAGTCTGTGACCTCTTGCATAAGAAGGCTCTTGAGGCTGCTGGGGGTGTATGACTGAGTAGTAACAGCAACTGCTGGGCAATGCTCCTGATCACACTCCCATCACCCAGGGTAACTGTTTTGAGAGAGCGACTCTTGCAGATCAGATAGCAATAACAAGCGAGTGTTTTGTGATTTGTTTTTTTTAAAAGATTCCTCGCCCTGAGAATACTTAAGGCTTCTTACACCGTGCAATACTTTCAAGGGCTCACTTACGCTCCTCATCGACAGGAGATCTGAGCTTCCCTGGAGGATCCACATGTCAAAACACCCAAGAGCAGCACACGACCTCTGTCTCTTGATCTTTTGTGCTGAAATGGGAAGGGGGAATACCTAGAACTCCTTCTTGTTTTGTTTTCTTTCAGTATTGGGAGCTGAATACAAGGCCCTGTGTGTGATAGACAAGTGTCCTATCATTGAGCTCTATTCCGAGTTCTAGCTTTATTCTTAATGACTGTGACGCCAGGTCTCCTTCTCATGCATTTAAAGTTTACCAGCAAATTGAGCAATATTATGGCGTCACTGTGTCTCTGTGCTGTGTGGCTTGAGCAAGTTACTAAAGCCCTTTATGCCAGTTTTTTTTTTTATCACTGAATGGTGAATGGTGGTCAGTTTAGTTCAGCTTCATGGGTTAGTTGTATGGATCAATCAGTTGGTTGATATCGCTGAACATAGTGGACAGTGAGGACTACTGAGACCTCAAGAACAATGGCAATGGGTTTTTGATCCTACTGTACCTATTGGTTTCGTGGGAGCCTAGGCAGTTTCGTGGATGCTCACCTTACTAGACCTGGATGGAGGTGGGTGGTCCTTGGACTTCCCACAGGGCAGGGAACCCTGATTGCTCTTTGGGCTGACGAGGGAGGGGGACTTGATTGGGGGAGGGGGAGGGAAAGGGGAGGCGGTGGTGGGGAAGAGACAGAAAACTTTAATAAATAAAAAAAAAGGAAAGACAAAAAAAGAACTTAGGAAAGTGACTGGAAAACACTGGATAAATGATAGCT